AGAAATTAACATAGAGTTAAAATTTAAAATGTGTATATAATCCAGCAGTTTTTGAGTTTAATTTGCTAAAAAGAATGCAAAGTTAAATTTACTTTTTATCACAGTTAAGGTCAGATGTTTTTAACTAAATCCTTTTTTGGGGGGTTAAACCACCCTGAAAAAAAAGAAAATTAAGAATGTTTTATTTGATGTATTTTCGAACGAATTTCCGTCATCCCTTGTCAAATTTTGTTTGGAGACAAACCGGTTTCGGCGTTGTGCCATCTTCAGTATCATTTTTCGTTCTGCATAATTTTTGTTGGTTGCTCGTATTTATACTCCTTGTTAACTACCTCTTTCTTCTGTTAGGTACGTCTTTTTAGTTTTGCAGTGTTTTCGGTGCTCAATAGGTAGATTAATTGTTTTGGCTCGTTTTTGACGGCAGGTAGAAGTCCGTGATTTTTACCCTCTTTGTTTTTGCAGTTGGTGTATTCCCTTCCATGTCTGTCCTTAATATGTTTTATTAATGTTTTATTTCGAAATTCTATGTACTTCGGAAGTTATAGCAGTTAGAAGTAGAAGAAAGGCAACGAAAGGCGGTACATTTTATTTTTGGCGTTTTTTCGAAAAGAGTTTTTTCTAAAAATTGTACAGGATATCTCAAGATCTACTCGATTGATTTGGCTGAGATCTTTACCGCAAATTCTTTATAATATTATTTAAAGCGCTGCATATGTATGTTTTGATTTAATGTTCCGTTCTTAAGTTATGAATTTAATTAAGTAAACATTTTCATGAAAATTATGTCGTGTTTGAAAAACACCACAACCACGAAAATTTTAAATGTTTAAAATAATTGTGAAGGGTTGCTAACTTCGCTTGAAAATATTTAAGTTTTTTTTTAAATCGCGAAAATTCGACCGCTAAGTCAAAATTTGGTCGAAGTTAATTTTGAAAATTTTGTGGATGTCTTTGTTTTGTTTTAAGGACGACCGTAATATACACTGTATATTGTACCGGCAAATTGCCAAAAGAACTCACGATTTTTTACAGGGACTCAGGGGTCCGTTTTGAAAACAAGTAATATGAACGGCTTTTCCAACTCAGAGCGACAGACAATTTAGTCTCCATGCGTGGTAGCCAAATTCCAATAGTTCCATCTCATCACAATCAGTTTTAACAGTGGGTCAAAAATTATACTTTTCGAACCAAAAACCTATCCTTAAGAATGCCATTTTATGTATTTTGGAAAAATGGCAGTGTTCCACAGAAATGTTAAGCATCAAAATTTACTACGGATCCGCGAAAAAAGTAAATATCTAAATAAATAGGGTATTCACACGAGGTCTTAAGCGTCGCTATGGCGTTAGCCCGTACAATTTCTCAACGTAAAATAACACTTAAATTATTTTTTAGACAAGTTTAAAAATTTGTTTAACTCACCTTCACATTTGATTGCTGTAGTTGCAAGAATGTGGCTATTCCATTGCGCACACGATTCTTGACGCCGCGCACCGTTCCCTTCGACGAGCGTATAGTCGATGTGGCCGAACCGCAACGTATATCCTTATAGCCCGCGAAGGCATCGTCGTGCAAGCTTTTCGTTTCGTATTCGGAAAGACTTTCCAAATCATCACCGCCAAGATTGGCTGCAGCACCAATATCGAAACTACGGAAATTTTCATGCTCCTTCACATGGAAATCGTAATATTTATCTGCTTCGTATTTGCGCGGCATCGAGTTCATTTTTGTATCGACGAATGTACCGTTTTCCGCGTTTAGAATGAATGTTTTATTTGGCAACGAAGCGCGTTTATTATGGTGCGTATTGTTAACGCCAATATTGTTGCTATTGCGTTCCTTTAAGAATTTCACATGTTCAATATTAATATAGTCCGGTTCGTTGAGCGCATCTGGCAAAGTAGTTGTATGTGCATCGCGATCACCATCCGCATCGACATCACTGCCACCATCAGCGCTGCCTGCACTACCACCACCACTACCACTACCACCACCATCGCCATATTTCGCCTCAAAATCATTTGTAGGAAATTTGCGATCGCGTATATCGCGCAACAAAGAATCTGGCAGAAAGGCGCCCAACATTTTGACACGCGCGGCTGTTGCGGCATTACCGCAAGCTTTCTGAGTTGTTGGCGAAACGGAAGACTGGCGTATGAATTCGGTGGAGTGAAGCGAATCACAGCTGAGGGAAGACGATTCGCTTTCCTCGCTATCCGTGAAACTGCCAGCGCGTGCATGATCACCATTTGTATGCGATTTGCTGTTGATGGAGTTGGGCGAGTCCAGCGCCGACTTCTTAACGCTGCCATTTAAGCGAATTTTGGTGGCCTTCAGATGTAATTCCATTTTTGGTGCAATGCCATCTTTACCCTTCTGTGAAGAAGAGTTAGCCGCTGCATTTAATTTCTCAAGTGTACTCTGCAATTTGCTCTGCGGTGATGGTGTGCCAGGTGTTAGATTGCCATTGCTCTCCAGATCACTGCCAGTGCCACTGTCTAAAGTATCGCAAGGCGAAAACTGGCCGCTGGACATAACATAGTACAAGTACGAAGGATGTGACACATTTAGTTCGGTGACGGTTGTATTGCCCGAGGTAATCGCGTTGCTGCTAGCGTGTCCGTTACTGCTGCCATTACCGTTATATTTGCCGTTAGCCATTGCGCCTGCATTCGAATTCAAGTTTGCATTTGCATTCCCGCCCGACACAGTTACCGCGCCCGAATTGAGAATTGTCGTCGATGTCAATGTGGTCGCCAATGGCGTTGCCGTTAACGACATCGATGTAGTTGGCTTTTGCACCATTTTCTCGTCGTTGCTCGAATTTAGATCGTTCGCACTTTCACCCGTCGTTGTTAGTGGACGCGCACAATTTTTCTCTTCAATAGTTTCTGTTATGTGCACTGGAATTTTATGTGTTAATTCTTTAGATTGACTTATTTTGGTTGAATTTTGTTCTTGAACTTGTGCCTCGTTAAGGGTCACCACTGTCACCTGTTTTTCGTTATGTTTATTCACTTTTTCTGGTTTAATTTGTATCTTCAGCACATGCAATTGCGTAGAATCCGCATTTGTTTGATCAGTATGGCGTCTGCGCAGAATATCTATTTCTGTTTCTGTTTCGGTGAGTGCACTTGCACAATCTGCTTTCGTTGCCGTAGTTGGACTATTCGCGGCGATCGCATTCGAATTCGCGTTCACGTCTGTGCTTTCCAGCTGCTGTTGGACATCTGCACTGCGCAGACCACTGCCAGCTTCATGGTGATCGCATTCGCTGCCGCTTAAGACATTCGGACAAATACGTTCAAACGCGTTTTGACCAACACTAGTCACACAACTTTCGTCGTGATATACATTAGACGCCACATTCGTAGACGCAGTCACAGTCGCAGTCGCAGCCGCAGCCACAATAAGTGATCCAACATGATTATGATCAATATTATTAGTTGCTCGCTTATGTGCATCTTCATTATGCTCTACGCTCTTGCCTTGATGATGTTCATCATCACCATTGCACTGTATGATCATCGGGCCGCGCTGGTTTGTTTGACCATTTACGGTCGTTTTTATTGTTGTTTTCGTATTTGCCATAGTCGCAGACGAGCTTGTCTCGGCGCTCTTTCTATTATGGTCATTTATGCTCGCAACACCTGCAGGCTCGGCCTCGGCAACATTTCTATTTACTTGCGATTTTCCAACAGTAATTCCAGCGCCAACTGAACTATCTTCGTTTCCATCCGTTTTGCGCATTTCTTCGGAGTTGGCGCCGCCACGATTGCTCTGTCCATTATTGGCTTTTCCTCTCTCACTCGCCACTTTCAATAGCAGTTGTGGAAAATTTGGAACTGCTGTAGATGTTGTTATTGTCTGCTTGATTGTGGAATAACTAGTTTTCTGATCGTTGACGTACTCACCACTTTGTATGGTAAACAAACGTCGTTGCATGCGCTCATCATTGGCGCGTTCGTAATGAGTGACAGTATCATTATTATTTGTACGTTCATCATCGTTCAGGTAATTATTATCATCGTTAACACCAATTCGCATTGTAGTTTCTTTTGTTGTTGCCACCAATTTACTTTGCTGTGGCTGCAATTTTGTGACCACTGTTCTAGTTATTGCCGTCGATGGTGTTGGTGTCATTTGTGTTGTAGTTGTTGTACTTGTATTTTGATAGATGGTGATCTTGCCATTTTCCGCTTTCTGTGACGGCCTTAACGTTTCTTGTTGACAATTGACGATGAGTGGCTGGTGCTGCTGCTGCTGTTGTTGTTCTTGTTGTTGTCGCTTTGTTGCTTGGTCTTGGTCAATTACAATTGAGATGCCACGCGCTGGCGTCGCACTCGTATTTATAACAGTTTTCGTTGCCATTATTGTAGTTTTGGTTTTCTACGTTTCTCTTTTTGTGTTTGATCGAATTTAGATCTTTCTTAGAGGCTCGGAGTCTGCCTGTGAGTAATCTAAATGCTTTAAATTGCTGCTGATTGCGAATTGTTTGATTACTTGTTTTTCTGATACTTATTTTTCTTTTTCCTTCTTTTCCTCACCACACAATTGTTGATATTTCTCGGACCCTCTTGGCTCCTGCGTACGACGCTTTGTGGCCTATGCAAAATCAGTTGGCAGTTTTTACGACGTGTCTTCCTCGGCAAGCTTGCTTTTCCGCATCTGCCGGTGCTGCTCTGACACCTCTTCGTTTGCCTAGCTGCTTAGCTGCCTGGCTGACTTCGTCTACTTTGTTCTTTTGCTTACAACTTTGATCTGCAACACCTTTCTTTTGCTATTGTGGCTTTTGTATAGCGTTTCTTCGTTGTCGCTTCTTTGTGGTTGCAGCGTGATTTGCTGTTATGCAATTTACGGCATGTAATATAATCGTTGCTACTCCCTAACAGTTAGTTATACACACTTACATATGTACATATGTACACGTTAGTCACTAGATAGACTCGTCTGCATTTGCAATTTTCTTCATGCACTTCCTTATTTGATGACTTTATAATTTTCTTTGGTTGATTTCATTGTTTCCTCTTATCGTTTTTGCGAAAGCCCATCGCTGTACTTTTGATCTTATAACGACTTTTTTCTTTATAAGTGTTTGCAACTTTAAGTCGCAATTATTGCAATAAAACTGCAGGTGATTATTTGATTTATTATCTTTTTTACTAAGTCTTCCAGCTGGGTTGTGCAGAGTTCGTATTTTTATAGTTTCGAGTGTTTTTATGATTTTTTTTGTGTCTGTAAAGATAGTTGAAAGTTGTAAAATGTTAATTTTTAATGGTTTTACAAAGCGTACAAAATAGGGTTATAAAGAGTAAAACAAAGGCTAAATCTTATCTTATATATACTTATATAAATAGGCAATCATGTTTTCTTTACACCCCTTTTACGGCTAAAGTATACTTCCAAAGAATAGAGCATTATATATCATTAAAAAGGTATTTTGACGCTAATTTGCAGAGGCTTACTAAAATCTCAAATCGATTTAAAATAAAGCGCCAAAATCAATTCAAACCATAAATGTACATACTATAAATGTACGCTTTAATATTGATACTGAATTAAAGAAAAGTGCTAAGCAGCAGCTGAGGAATAAAATTTAAGTAGATTAAGTTTCATGCAAGGAAGAAGGTAAAAATGAGTATCAAGATTCTAGAAGAAGAAAGGGATAAAGGCAAAGATTAAAATGGAAATGGTGGGAGGGAATAAGTGGATGAAGAAAAAAATAAAGATTAAGATCAGGGTAAACGTAAAGGTAGAGTTAAAGATAAAGATAAAAATGAAAAGTTAGATATAAATATAATACAAAAATAACAATAAAGATATAAATAAATATAACAAACGATAGACAAAGATAGAGAAAGTGATAGAGATAAAGAAAATAAAACTCAAGGATGGGATATGCTATGCCATGCCATTTTATGTTCTGTTATGTTATGTTATCTTATGTCATTTTATGTTATGTTACGTTACGTTATGTTATGCTTTGTTATTGTATGTTTTGTTATGTTATGTTATGCTAAGTTCTAAGTACAACTCTTCTCCACTCAACTCAACTCAGCTCAACGCACTTCAACTCCGCTTAATTTTAGTGGTTGAATTTCAACCGCGGGGCGAACACTAGAAATTTTAAATTTATACTATATAAATATGTATATCGTTAAGAAAAGAAATGAATAAGCTAATCAAGTTGCTATGGCTATATTTTTATCGGTTTTCTGAGAAAATACGTAAAGATAAGTAAACCATAAGGAGTATTTATTACATTAAAATAGTGTCTAATGGCTAGTCCTGTAGATTATTTATAACCCACTATTTCAGTCAAAGACAAAGCTAGCTCTTAGATTCTACACCCACCTTATTCATATTTCTGCAAGTTTAACTTTCGGTTGATGTCGGTATTTTTTACGTTTCACCTCACCGTTGAAACACAATACCAGCGAACAGCGAATTTTCGCCCAGTAGAGCGACGACGTCAGCAAATTTAGCCCTAAAATTTCGCCCAGTAAAAAACAACTACGGCGACAATGATAAACAACAAGATTATTATTATGTGGCCACAATGGACCGTGTTTTGCCGCTGCCACCAGCGACGACAATAGAAATAAATCTATCGTCGCGAACAGTCGTCGGGCGAACGTCGTCGTTTGCTTTGGTTGTGTGCATTTTTATATACGACAGTGTGTTTTAATTTGTACAGCGAACATTCGCAGCGAAAAATTCGCCGTTCGCCGGCTTTGTGTTTCAGCGGTTACAGGGGCACGACACAGAGAGAACGAAAGTAGATAGGGAAATAAATGTAGCGGTATTTTAAAGCTTTTAAGGTGGAGGAGATAGACAAATTTTCTCAATGATAAAATAATTAATCTGACCTAACAATTAAAATAAACTTTTCTGTTTATTATTTTATTACTATTAAACAAGAACCATTAGTACAATAAGAATTGTCTTCTTTTTTAGCACAACAAAATTTGCATTAATTGAAATTAATAACACATAAACTATTAAATAATTAATATAAAATATAAAGACTTCAACTAAGACTTAAACTAATGTGATGATGATGATGGTCGCTCCAGCTAATTGGAGAAATGAGAATATATAATTTTGTTTTGAAGTTACTTTTGTTTAAACTGCCTCTTGTTATGACTGGAATAGAATTCCAAGTTCTAATAGCACCGATGAAAAAGAGTCTAGTCGATGTTATAAAGTTATAGTTCCTTTGAGCGCTCAGACTTCGGGAATATTAACTTTTCATAGAGGTACAAGGGCGTCTTTGTAGAGATAAGCCGGAACAGAAAAATACACCTTCTTGCCTTTAAGTAGTCCTGAATTTCACATCCTAACAGACTTGCCCTCCATTTCGATATGAGATCGAAATTTTTAAACCGTCATTGATACAAAAATATGGATGTGTTTAATACTTTTTAAAAAAATACACTGCAGGCTGGTTTTTAAAACCTTCTATACTGGAAATCCAAGATAATTCTTCTGCCCAACGATATTATCTTCCCTGTATTCTCCATCTCAAAAACTTTAAAATACAGGCACCGAACATAACAGTTATTGATGAAAACTGTCATGGAAAAATTCAGGAAGGAAATGTTCTACAACTAAGTGATACAATCGATTTACTTTTTCACCGAGACTCAAATTTTAAAATAAATTTTTTTTTGCAATTTTTATTTTTTATTTAAATTATTAACAATTATTTTTATTTTTATACTATAAATCCAAAATAACAACTATTTTCGATTTTTGTATTATATGTCTTAAATAACAGTTATTGAAGACTTTTATTTATACAAGTCATTAATAAAAATCCGTCAGTGACTTTTACTTTTAAAAGTCATCAATATAAATCAGTCACCGACTTTTATTTTTTTAATCATTCGTATTAAAGTCATTAATATTTTTCGCAGTGAAGGTGTTGGGAAACAAAACTTTACTACGACTTATACAAATGACTTTTATATGTATGATTTAGAAAATAGAGGTCAGTGACTGATTTTTATTTATGACTTTTATAAGTAAAAGTCTTCAAAAATAACTGTTATTCGCAGATTATTTAGATAAAAAAAAAAAATAATTGTTATTTTGGATTTATAAAATAAAAGTCAGAAATAACTGTTATTTAAGGACTAATTAAATTAAAGTAAAATATAATTGTTAAAGAGCGACTTTTTTAATAAGAGTTGTAACTGTTACGGTCCCTGTTAAAATACCATTACATTTATTTCATTTATCTCTTGCCGTTCTAAAAATATTTTCGTTTTGTCTCGTTTTTTTTTCAGAATAGGACGCAGTGAGGCATCGCTGGCGCGTCATTCATTTCATTTCATGCAACCACTATTGGTGGTCTAACAAAAACTAACACACAATTTTTCTATCTTTTTTTGCCAGTAAAAACCAAAGTTTTCTGGAGCTTTGCACTCATTTGACACCGGGATAGAACTGTGTACAATTTTTGAGAGAAAACGGTTCATGTGGTCCAAAGTTATTCAGTAACATATGTAGATCAAAAAACTATTCCGACGATTTGATAACCTCCTTCTTTTTAAAAATCTAATAATATTTTGTTTCTATTAATTGCAATGTTTTCTCCTGGAAAATTTTTATGTTTAAAGTATTTATTGTCCAACATGCGAAACCTTGTTATGTGAAAATCTAAAAAAAAAAATCATAAATTTCCTATGGAAGAAAATGCGTACCACCGTTCACAAAAAAATTATACAAAAATCAACGCAGTTTTTAATAATTTCGCTTGCTATGTGGGCTACATGCCAGAGAATTTTCTAAAAAATAAATGATAAAAGGTTTAAATTTATACGAATATGTGTTGAATTTTTCTAAATTTTGTGATACATATAAGGTTGAAATAATTATGAATAAAGAAACTTATCGAAATCGAAAAAATAATGAGTATACACAATACACCAACTATAAAAACCAATTCATAAGTGAATACGTGAATAGGTGTATGTATGTAAGTAGGTATGTGAAATCATGCAAATGTAATGTCACATCAAGCCATGCGCGAAAATCGTGCAAAAACACAATAAAAAATGTTTTATTGAAATCAGACTTTAGACAGTTAGCGAGAATATGTACATATATTAAAAAATAATTATCTGTCAAGCGAGTGCATATTAATTTGTCCCTAAACGCTTGAAAGAATGGGTTTTATAAAAATGAGATCTACAAATTGTTGAAGAGGCAAATGGTCGATAGACAGCGCTATATTCTATGCAGATTTATACTACTGCGCAGTCGCAGCAAGCAACAAATACCGAAAAGGCATTTGGAATTTCCGATAGTAAATTAATACAAAATATTAGCATTTAAAACGCATTATTAAACATTGGGTGACATAATTTTAATGACTTCAAAACGATTGAGTTACAAGAAGTAAAAAATTAGTGAAGTTTTTTTCATTGGCAATAAAAACTGCGTTTTATACCGTAAAAAAGGGTGTACTATTTTAGAAAAACGAAATTTTTAATTGAAATTTTAACAATTTGCCAAAGTTGGTATAACAAGCGGGAGCTACTAGAATCAATAGGCAATATCTGCCTAAATAAATTCTCCATAATAATTTAAATATGTTAAGTATTTTATATTAAGATAAGAAGCTGGTTAGCTAATGAGCGCAAGTCGCGTCACCAATTGTCATGCTAATGGACCAAAACTCGCATCTGATTAAACGTGTTGGGATAGAAGTAAAAACATAAAAAAAAATAATAAATTATTATGTATGAACAAAAAAGTCTAAAAACAGGCGGCCCTTGTTGTAGTCACTAGTACTTACATATATACTATGTATGCATGTACATTAGAGTGGTCCAAAAAGAATAAAGTCGGCATTTTAATGCCGTCACTACCTAGGATTGTTCTGAACCGAAAAGAATATATACCCCTATTTTTTATTTTGAAATCAAAAAATATTTTGGGAGTGCTCAAAGCGCTCAAAGTTTTCCATGTATTTTATATGGGGAAAAAACAACTTTTTCGTAGAAATGATATAAAATTCTTGAAAAGCTATATTTTTCGATCAGAAAACTGTGGTTCTCTTCAGGAGACTTACAATATTAATATCCAATTGTTTATTTCGTTTATTTAACCATTTTTTATTGGTGCCACCATTGCATTTTCTGGGGGTTTTGGACCACCTTGGTATAAAATATAGTTACCATGAAAAAATGGTTAAAGAAACAATTTGGTATTATTACTAGGAATCA